ATTTTTTGCTACAGATTGATTTTCCAATTAGAATCAGGGACAATATTCATTCAAAACAAACACACACACACACACATATATATATATTGATCTAATTAGGCCCAAGAAACCAGACAGACTGTTTGGTAATTCATTTTTGTTAGAAATACCCCATGAAATTCAATTTCCGTGTCATTTAAAACCTTGTTTATTATTATTTACATGCCTGTAAGGCTATTGGAAAATGTATTAGGCTGTAGTATTGATCTAATTAACTAATTTTCTATTTGCAGAAAGCAGAGTAAACTCAACGGCCGTTGGGATTCTTGTTGGCTTTGGAATCCTGTTCATTCTATTCACCATAGGGATTGTACAATTCTGCTGCAAGTACAAATGTAAAGAGTGTAAAAATTGCTGCAAGAAAAAAGGTGAGATAACAAAAGCATACTTCTTCTTGTCTCCTTTTGGTCACAAAGAATATAGCTTGTGTCTACAGCATCTCTGCTGCTTCCCCAATTAAAAAACGTACACTTAGTCAAGTCTAACAGTCATTATAAGTCATTATACTAACCGCTGACTGTGAGTAACAAGGGTATTAAATTCATAACACAAATCAACTTTTTTTGCGTCACAAATTTGCATCACAAATTGTGAAATTCTCATTTCTTTATAGTTTGCTTCTAAAGAGCCAGAATTTCTTGTAATGTTTTAAAGTTGCCTTCGGGGATAGTTCCCCAGGCTTTCTGAAAAAATTTCAAAGTTTTTCTTTGGACAATGTCCGCTCTATAGCTCCGGTCCTTGTACCTTCCCATTTTCAGATTTTTTTGTTTGCTCGTTTTGTTTGTTAAGCCACTTCAAACTGAAGTAAATTACACTGAGTAATTCAAGCATAAAAAAAGCAACTAACTCAAGGGATGAGCCAGTGTTGTATGGAGACATAGCATAAATTTAGAATCTGAAAGTCACGTTCTTAAGAAAGAGGAAACAATCCAGCAAAGGATTGTTTCTGACTGACTCTTTAGCTGATCGATCTACTGTGCACTAAGGCTTAATCAGAAATGGTGTCAGTGGAAAGGTGGCTTTCAAGTAGCCATTCTTAAGGAAGGGAAAAAGGGAGAAAAGGTCGCGGTATGCGAGACTGAAGATCAGTGGCAACAAAAAAGTTAAACTTTCCAAATATGAAATTTTTGGTTCTATTCAAAGTCAGTATGTACAGGAGGTCAAGAGAGAGTCAGTTCCACAGAAGTGGAATGAACCCGCTTATTTTTCAGAAACATCGTTTTCAACATGCACAAAAAAGGAAAATAAAAGAAACTATCCACATGGTGTAATAATTTGACTGAAACAACTCTCTAAATATCCTTCTGAAACTGTCATATGTGTGGTTAAATGCTTGACTGCATCACTGCCCAGCAGTAATGCTACAGCATGATAAAGCCACCACACTATTGTGCTTTGGAAAACTTACTTATTATGTCTCCTTTTATTCTGTAGCTCCGTCGGTGAAAGACAAAGTGCTCACGTAAGTAGATTTTTTCCACAATGACCTTTGAGTGTAGACCTTTCACATCATTTTAAAAGTTTTATTTCCTCCTTTGCTTCATGATCACATGGGTGCTTTTGATTTTATGCTTCACAGCAAAGTCGGCCTGAAGAAGGCTCCCCCTCCCTTCTCCATTAGCAAAAGCATGAAATAACATCTTGTCTGTGTTTTGATCATCACCTTGATGGAAGGCATTCAGTCGTTTGTCACTTTCCTACACACCACCTACCTTTTTTCAACATGTATGGCTCTGTTCCTGCTTGTTATTTGCTGCTTTATGTTGGTGTAAAAGCCTGAGGAAAACCCAGACTGAGGAGTTTGTTTACCATGTTACTTTTTGATTCCTTTTGATTATATTTGTATCATGCAACAACTTTATTCTATAGTTATGTTTAAGAAAATGCGAACTTTTTCTTAAAACAAGGAGAGGTGTTGCATTTTTTTCTGTATATGCAGAACTATGTTAATATCATGTGATTTTAAGAATATAAAATTATACATGTAAATAAATATTTGCGTCCAATTTCGCACTGGCAGTTTTGTTATGTGTCATGAGAAACTGACAAGATGTTGCGGTGTCCCGTGATACAGATTTGAGTATGCACACACATATGCACACACACCAATGGGAGGAAGCATATATACACTTGTATTGCAGAGGAGATTTTTTTTTTTTTGCATTGAAGGCAGAATATCAACAACTCAACCACAGCAACACGGCAGTTTTCTGGTAAGCTGCAGGTGACTTCCCTCCTAATGCACATGCACATAATGGTTCCTTTCTGATACTTGTGATAGTTGGTAGAGTCCTTATAGTCTCATTATTTTATTTCCCATAATGAAACTGAACCTTGTCTAACTCATGTATTGAAAAAACAATGACCTCTCTGAGGTGGGGGTGAATAAATGTCATCTTTTGAATTCAGTGAAAATGAGTCATATCTCACAAAAGACAAAGGTTTTTCACAACTGAAATAGTTTTAGATGGTTTTTAACTCAAACTGTAAAAACAAACCTTCATATCTGTACAACAATACACTTACATTCTCTACTAAAGCTCTAAAATAGAAAATATAATGTATTAACTTTTCAGTGCCCAAAATATTTCACTGACTGCACATAAATTTGCATGTGAAGATATTTGCAGTCACTGATCATTGGATATGCATGGGTTACTGAACTGACAAAAATCAGCTATGAAACCCCAGGGCAATGCATAAACCTTTTGGTTTTAGACATTGAGGTCTTATATCTTCACAACATCACTCAGATATTTTTTTTTAAGATAAAGATGTTTCACGTAGTTTAACAAGTCTCAAAAAATGAGTCAGCAAAGAGTAAATATAAGATTACATGCAAAACTGTCTTTTCTAATAGTAATTCTGAAACAGTTCCAATACTCTGGTTAACATTTAATATTTATTGTTTTTATTGGTAAACACCACCAAAAATAGGTAAATAAAAGTTGTTCTTTTTTTTTTTACTTGGGTTCAGATTTAGATTTGCTGTTGTTTTATTGCAGGAATATTAGATTCTCAGCACTGAACAGTTGTATTGTTAAGGATTTTCTATAGTAGGATAGTAGTTTATTGACTCAGTGATTCAAGTGACAGTGTTTTATTATTAAATGGAGAACAGTTCCATATTTTCATTATTTCATTGGGAATTAAGCTGGCGATCATGTGAGGAAGGCTTTTCAGTTTTTTGATGAAAAGATGAAAACAGAGACTCTTCTTTTAACGTGTTTTATTTCTGTGATGTTAGTCTTTGCTGGCAACATAAGATAAAGCATAAGCTGCACTATAGTTCTTGTGATACCTGCCATAACCCTGCATTTGCTCTAGTACTGTAAGTACAGTAACTTCTCAACAGAGAAGGATTTAATCTAGCAATAATGGGAAAAACAAAGTGACATGTTTCTCCTTGTTAACTAATGTGGGTGTTGGCATATTTTGAAATCATACAGAGGACAAACCCCAGTTTTGGAAGTTTTGTGTTCCATTTTAATTGTCTTAAAATTAGCCAAATATTTTTCCAGTTTTGGTAATTGAACCGGGAGTTCCCCTCAAGTTCAATTACCAACCTGGAGAATGCACAGACATTCAAAAAAGTAGGGGAACAGTAGGAGCGCAAAAAGAACGTTTTACCACAGGAATTCCCAACATGTTAACGTTCTACAATAATCATCAGTGTATATGTAAAAATATTATGATAAGTTGCATGAAACTGTCTTACTTCCCTGTATGCAGTTTATACATAGAATACTTGTCACAGGATTTCCCTAATGCTGTGTTTGGTGTATGGAAATCAACCCATATTGACAATATTCATTCTCTTCTCGGGACTTTTTAGAAATGGGGTAAGGCCTGACAGAGGAAGTGTTTGTTTCTCAGTTTAGAAGCTTCAAAACCACTGACCTGGTTCCTGTACATAATTTGCATATGGAGATCCCTAGTAGCCTACAGATTGTCTTGTGTAATGGTTTTTTTTAAAGAAGGTATCATTTTGTTGTCTCAGGGTTTTCCTTGGGTTTTCTTTAGTCATAGTTTCTGAAAACAGCATGTCGTCTGTCAGCTGGTTTCACTGACTTGTGAATGTCTAAAAATAATCTTCGCTTAAATCTAAATTGGATAAAACGTTTGCGTTCAACAAAATACTTTGCAATGCTACATAAAGTTGCAGGTGACTGGATAAGACTTAAATTCAAATGAAAAGAGTTTGACTTTTTAACTTAATTTAATAATTCTTTTTAAAAAATATTTTCATGTTCCACTTTCACTTTTTCCACTTTTCACTCACTGTTTAGCTAGGTTTAGGCATTGTTTTTAGGAATCTTGGCAACATATGAATTTTACAGACTAGTCCAAGTTTTAATCATGAGTAGCACATGTATCAACAAAGGCATTAAATAAATAGACTAATAAATAGATTGAACAAAGAAGTAGCTGGTCTTATAAGCACAAACATGAAAATATTTTGCCATGTAAGAAAACATGAAAGAGAATCAGACACAAAATGCTCTTTATATCAAAGTTTGCTTGTTAAGTAAGGTGAAACCACTTGTTATTGTAAAAGGTTTGTGGATTGATTAAGTATCACGAAACTGTGTGAATTAAACACACTGCTGAGAAATAAGAACATTCTCATGTGGGCAACTGCAATAAAGTTCATTGTTGGCGGCGATGAAATCACAAAATGTCCAAGAGCACATAACTATCAAGCCGTTTCTCTTCAGTGCTCCCCACACAGTTTCACTTCCGGCAGACAACACATTAGTCAGTTGTAAATAGACTCAGTGAAACAGGGTTAAAAAGGGCGTTTCTTAGAATCTTCTCAGTCTTCATAATCTCCCAAGACTCCTTCCAACAGTTACCAGTCAGTAGCTCTGTAATCTAACCTCTGTTTCCTTCCTACAGTATGTTCAGTAACTGCCTGTTAACCACTCAGTTTTATCCCCAAGATTTCCGCATGTTTTTTCAGTTTCTGGCACTGGAACATTTTACCTCACTCTAGTGCTTCTGTTTCATTAAGTAGAAAATGTGAGTTTATTGCTCCAGTATTGCACTGTAACATGCGGTGGCAGGATTTTTTTTTCTTTTTAAATAAAGTGTTTTGTCACATCTCACAGTTTATCAGTCAATTTTCAGCTGTACATCGCAGAGAGAAAGGGACACATTGTTCATATTGAAGTCCTGCCCACACTTCATTAACGGCAGCGGGGACAGAGAGGTCAGCAGAGGAAAATCCCTCAGTGGAAAGATTGATTCTAAGTCATCCATCATGTGTGTGTCAGATTGTTTCTCTCTAGAGTAACCTGGATGTGTAACATCTCCTTTGTAAGAGTCTATTAAATCAGATTGGCTTACAAGTAGTCCATTTTCAATAGACACTTTTCTATATTGTTTGATGACTTTGGTTTCATCGTGGCCTTGCTGATGACACCAAATGCACTGACCAGCTCCTGAACAGATACACGACTGAGGCCCAGCTCTGTAGCCCGTGACCACCTCGGCCAAAACCAAGTCGGGAAGCATCTGTTTAAATGTTTCCTCATCATCAGAAGCTTGCATCTGCACATCTGAAGGACTCTGGCTGCGATAGTTGCCTCCAGCAGCAGACTCTTTTAGAGGACCACTGTCCTGCCCATCCAGGTTAATGCAAGAAATCATCTGGCAGCCCAGACCCACCCCACTGTCCTCTCTTTTCCGAATGGAATCAGCCCGCTCATTCTCAAGTGGGTAATCTGTTTGGCTGCTAGTTGTGCTTTCAGGTCCTCCCATGCTTCCACAGCCACTGTCATCTTGTCTCGTTGGTGGATTCTCTTCAATGTTTGAGTTAGACTCCATACTGAGCCCACTATCCATGCTGGTCCTCCTCTCCTCTTCTTCATTGTCCTCTGTTACTGTAAGATGACTGATTGGGTCTTTCACACCATCTTTCATGTCTTTTCTGTATGGTGACAGAAACCATCCTTTGTCTGTAACCACCTCCACAGTCCCATCTTCAACATAGAGTGGAAGCCAGCCACTAGCAGGGGATTTCTAAGGTGAGTCAAAGAAAAAAGAAAATTAGATTTGATTTATGAACCATTGGATTAGTGCACATTGTAAGATCTCTTTTCAAAATACTGTTTTTCTGTTTTCCAAATAGTTGACACTACAAGTGTGCACAGTTGTCTATAGTTTACTATACTTACCAATGCAGCAGGTGTTTTCTCTGGACGTTTCAGGTAACACAGCAGGAAGACTGCTATGACTGCAATTAATGCCAGCCCACCCACAAATGATAGGGATAATACGGCAATAATGTAATACTCTGAAAAGAGCAAAAGCACCAAAGAATTTACCAAATGTGAGTGTCTTGCTGAAAAAAAGCAAGGCTATAGCTGAGCTTTTATCATACTAACAATGATACTTCATAAAGGTGTAATCTAAATCTAATCAAATCTACCACACGCAGTGGACGATAGATGCTTTATTAAGATTTGTTTTAATGCTGAAAAATTTTCAAATGTTTGGCATTTAGCTGCCATCCGTGTTTTCAGGCCCTGTGTAAATGTTATTTATAGGTGACATATTTAATAATCTTCTTAAATAATCTACCATTTTTTCTTTACCTTGCTCTGGCAACTGCAGACACTGTTTTTTGGAAACACTGCTGGTGGGGAGATTTCCACTGCCCTCTAACTTGACGCTGACACAGTACTCTTTACCCCAATGGAGAGAAGTGAAAGTAGTCTTCTGATCCTCTTCCATGTCATCCTTCAAGTATGCCGTGGTATTCTGTAGGGCAAGAACATAGTCAGCTGTTTTTTTCTTTAAATAAGCTTTAAATAATAAAAGTAAGGGCAATTCATCATTATATTTTCCAGTCTTAAATTGTGAAGTTGTTGGAAAATGTGTAAAAACCTTATTGCTTTAACCTAATCCTAACCTACCTTATTATCTTGTCCTTTCTCCTCTAGGTAGATGGTGTACTTTAAACCAAAAGGAAAAATCTTCTTCAAAATGGGTTTTGGGTGAACAGAGACGATTATAGTGCTGAATGTAGCCCACAATGTGAAGGAGGGAGGTTGCAGTTTGCCTATGATCAGAGAAGGGAAAGGAAATAATCTTATTATGTGTCTGAATTATTAATTAGAGCATTTTAATCTAAAAATAACACAACAAATTGTGCTTACTTTCATTCAGGAGAAATTTCTTACGAACCCAAATAGACTCATCGCCCCCTGCTACCAGCTGAACTCTGACCTTGTAGCCAGATTCAAAATCAGTTATAAAACTGTTAAGGCTGCAGTAGTTATCATTAATCCGTGTGCAACTTGCCAACATGGCCCAGTCATCTTGGTACCTAAGGACAGAAAACAGTCACCAAAATAAAAATATGAACTTAAAAAAAGGTTTAGTAACTCCTAGTTGAAAAACAATTAGCATCAAATGCTTGAAAAATGAACTGAAGACAAAATCAAAATGAAGTCACAGAGAATAAAAATGTAATTAAAAAGAAATAAGGATAAGGAAGTTCAGAGATTGGCATATTGTAAGTCTGTAATAGGATTCTTACTGATATGTAAGTTAAACTTACTTTGCCATTTCCACATTGTAGTAATAGTTTGAAGGTGCATCTTCAGGTGTGTCCCAATGTAGTGTTACATCGCCATCCAAAATATTCACCATCACTTTGGCAGGACCAGGAATGCCCTCGGCTCCTGATATAGAAAAAAAGAGGTTAAGACGTACATTAACTGTTACAATAATGGAAGTTTAAAAAAAATATATATATATATATACACACATATCTTTTTCAAACACGAATTCCTGTATATAGGGAATGAGCTATAAAGTCAATGGTAATGTAAAACCCTCTGAACATATTCCGAAAGTGTTACTGCCAGACGTTTTTGTGTGAAACTTGTGGTCAAGAAAAGAAGAAAAAGATGCTGACAAGCTTTGATTTATGGGATCTCCAACTAAGTGACTCTGGGTTTTTTGGAAAGGGAACAGAATTTCCACTCTTGCCGTTCATCTCATTTACTGGCTTCGTCTGATCATAGAAATAATACAAATATTATAAATGATCATGAAGGAAAAATATAGTACCTTCTAAATACTTTTTAAATCGTTATTTAAGTAAATGATCAACTGTGAGTTTTTTCCGTAACTGGACATACTAAGTAAGATTACAAATAGAGCGTAAGAAAAGCTTTTAATTACCTGACACAAGGCTCATGTAGATCATTAAGAAGACAAAATCCAGCAATTTGGCTTTGATATCCATTTCAAGTATCTGGAAATACACCATTTAGTTAGAATCCGGTTAGTAGTCGCCAACAGAGTCCCTTATTCCAATCATCACCGACAGAAACATCCAGCCTCCACAGTGGCTCTGTGTAACTGTACAGAAGAGCTAAACTAAACTGTTGATTAATATTAACAAGGAGGAAGCAGCTGTTTTCTGCTGATACTGTGCTGCCTACACATCTGCGGTACGAAGAAGAAGAGGCCCCTTGTTTTTCGAAAATGACTTTATTTACATAGTTCTCACCAAGTACCTTTGTCGCTCGCCTAACTCCCCTCCCTCTCAGATGATGAGTTTCCTGTTGTGACTATATCCGTGACGTTGCTGCTAGTTTCATCTCTCGCTTGCTCTTGCCTTTCTCAACAAGAGAGCCTTTTTCTTCCTCTTTTGTTTTTTCTTTTCCCCTTTCCATGCTCTCACCGGGCTCATAATGTAATTAGTGTTGAGCACTATCAGAAAAAAACACAGTTGGAGTGTGTCTACACCAGATATGAGAAGAGGAAGCTTTCAGGAATTCCCCTTTCACTTTCCTCCCCCCCTAAAATGTAGGCAGTAGTTACTATCAAAGACTCATTCTGGTGTTTATCAGTTCACTTTGTATACTCTTTTGTTTATGTAATTTCTGTTTTTTCACTGACAAATATAAAATTTAAACTCAGGAAACTCATCTTATCACTGGTTTCCTCTTTTAGGCTTTGTCTACCTTTTCCTGTGACACTTTGTTCAGCACAACCTCCTTTGTGGTTTGATGCATTGCATATGTTGTTTCTTTTTTTTCTTTTGCACTTAACCATGGCTGAAGATAGAAGAACAGAGACAACTAAAGATCTATGTTAATTATAGCCCCAGTTTGGGTGAATGTGCTTACTTTTCTGTACTAACACTTAAATAAATCAAAAATAAAGGTCTTGAAAGTCAGACTTCACTTGATGATAAGAATAAGTCATTAGCTTGTGTGGATAACAGGCATATAGCTTCATCATACATTAAGCCATATTAATATGTCGCCAGCATGCGAGTTATTATGTGTGATTAGGCAGCAATATTTTTCCATGTTCTTTAGAAACTTACATTATCTAACATGAGGGATGCAAGGCAACCTATATCTTTAAATATCACACGAATAAAGTACATACTTTTATCTATGTGCGCAAGAAACCACAGTGACTATCAGGCCTTATCTCTACACCTCATCCTACACAAAATTTCAGTAGTTCAGTTCATTACTCCTGTTTTGCAGATTAACAAAGAAAGCTGACGGCGTGATGTGTGTTATGGGTAGATATATAGCGATTTCTGGTTAAGAAATGACTCATAAAAATACCCCTTGTTAAACCGTTAACAATCACTTATTCCTGCATAATTCTCAGATTTTTCACTGTGTCCATCATTGTCTCTGCTGCATATCAAGGTTTAAAAGCGTCACATACAAATTACTTTTCTTCCTCTGTCTGCTGGATTCTGCTCATTCGTTACTGTAAATGTGTAAAGGGTATTGATTTACTGCTTAACATAAGTTCCCTAAAACAAATAGGACATAGACTGCTGAACCTGCAATGTCATCTAGCCTTCCTCATCTTTTTAAACTGTTTCAGGCTTTACCCAGTTTTTCCAACAAGAGAACGAGTCTGGTGCCCATGGGAGTACCACACTCTTTCTTTTATTGTGATTGCATGTGACTTATGCTTAGTCCACTGAAACTGTATGAGAAAGAGGATTGGTTGGATCTAGCACAAACCGCAATATCTAAATTATACCAAAGAGAAATACATTGGGATGTTGATTTATTCAAGGAGCTTTTATCTAGATATACTTTAGTAAAGAGTGCCTTCCATTTCTGAGAAGTAGCTTTCTCTTAAAGTTAGCCATATATATCCCCATGTTTTCTCACCTCCTCCTCTCATGTGATTTCTTTTTAGTTTTACTTCCCAGTAAATGCAAACAGGGTCTCTGCAAAGCACACCACATCTCTATTTGATAATGTCAGGTGGACAGAGAGCCGCTGACTAAATGTGAGCTTTGGGGGAGGGAGTCTTTTTTAAAAGGTCACAAGATCAACTGCTGTTGTTCAGAACAGGGACTTTCTTGCAAGTCACTTTTTAAGTTATAAGTGCCCTTTGGCTTCATGCACAATAAGATCACCCTCTAGTGGTGTGAAAAGGTGCATCATAACAGTGAATATACTCTCTAGTGTGTATCACAAACTCAATGCATCATTAAGTATCTCATTAATATCAGCCATGAATAAACCACTAATGAGCAGACAAATTAAAATGCCGAACATCAGGTCTCATAATATAGATCTACATTACAACACCTGGATTACACTTAAGCACATTTCCTTTAAGGTCATTATCTTTTATGCATCAGTTTTACAGTCATGCAGAGTCACAACAAAGGAAACTTGGGGGAAGATAACAGGCAGATGACGTATAACAAATCATCTAGATTCAGATCTAAAACTGTGTTTACAGTTTGCGAATGTCCCACATTCATGTTTTCCAAAAAGTTGATTCTGTTCATCTGGATTTTGCATTCAGAGCCCGAAGAAGTCACCTGGATGAGTCATGAAACATTTCTGAAACTGTAAATTCATAATCATAATCATAATCAGAATACTTTATTAATCCCGAAGGAAATTCAACGTCCAGATGAACAGAATCAGCTTCCTGGGATTCCCTTGCCTGGATGACTGAGGATACGTGAAGACATTCATGTTTACAGTTTGTAAGATACATATTATGCAACATGCTCAACAACGGTTCAGCAAAGATGAGCAACAGAGATGCAAAGAGTTTGCAGAAATAGTATCCACTACACTAAACTACAGATGAGTGAGAAAATTAAAGCCACAACTAAGACAAAGTTGGTATTAACATTGCGTTAGACCAGTATGTGCTGCCATAACAACTTCACTGTGTGTTGTATTGATGCTATAAGCCTCTGGAACTCTACAGGTGAAAATAAGCTGTTTTTTTTGCTTAAAAGATATTCCATTGGGAGGGTAATGAAGAGCGTAAAAGTTCAAAAGACACTCCAGCAAAATGCCACCCAAAGCAAAACATTTGCTGGATTCCATCACTGTAGGGAAGATTTGAGTTTTTTCTTTAATTTTCACCAACCTACCAGTATTTCCCAACCAAGTGGGAAATACTGAGGATGATCAGCCTGGTGGGACTTTCAGATTTTCAAGAGTCTCAATGGTTTGGCACCACCTTATTCAACTGACTTTTGCATCGCTGCTTTTCCAGCTGCTCCTCAATATTCCTAGGTCAAACCTTAAAAGCAGAGGTAATAGAGCCTTTTCATTTGTGGCTCCTAATTGAAGGAACAACCGATCATTTCACATAAAAGCCACCCACTCTCTTAGTCGTTTCAAAACACTGCTTAAAACCTACTTATTCTTGCTTGCTATTAGTTCTAGTTGAGCAGAGTTCACTAGTTTTTATTATGCAAACACAGACTTATGTGTATTTTTCATTTCATGATTTTAGTGTATATTTATTTTTGATTTAGTGATTTTTATGCGTAGCGTATATCTCTTATAACCTGTACAACAATTGAGGTTGTTTAAAATCTGCTATAGAAATAAATTCTGACCTGACTTGACTTGTCAGTTATACATTTTGCATGGTCAAAGTGAAAACAGCGATGAAAATTATGTTTTAGTTTCAAATTGAAAGGGGTAAAAAAGAACAACTGAAGAAATGTGTGGCTGCAAGAGGAAGTAGAGATCATATATAAAGTGAATCTGGCAGGTGCAAATCAAAAATACCCAGGAGCCACATCTGTGCAGAAAGGCACCAATTTCGTGAGAAAAATGCTTTCTCGCACATCCAAAATTACTTGTATTACCACGATTTGGTTCCTTGTGATTTTGCCACCAGTATTTCATTTTGCTTAATGTTTTAAAGCCCAAACAAATGAAATAATTACCATAAAATTCAAATTGGTAGCACTTTATAATAATGTCAAAGTATTAACTACTGTTAAGATATTAGTAAATCATTAACATGTACTTAATTCATAATTTTGTATAGCATTACCCCTCCTTATTATGACATTTATAAATACAGAGATATTATTATGACTATGATTATGATCATTACTAGCAGTAATGTAGTAGCAGTGATAGCTGTACATAGTTACACCATGTACAGTAGTGATAGCTGTACATGGAGTAACTGTAAAAGATATATTTATAAATATAATATTAATACAGATAAAAACACATCTATATTTATGAATGACAGACTAATTCAACATAAATGATGATTTAAGCACTTGCTTATACCTTAATAATACCTTAATACTAATGCTTAATAGTGTGACATCAATATAAAGTGCTACCTTTATTCTTTTTTGAAAGTAGAATGTTTATTTAACCTTCTGAAAAAATGAATTCAATACGAATTTGGATATTTTAATTTTAATTTGTATCATATTTCCATTTTTTTGCAATGTAGTAATTATTATGTATTATACAATGTAAAATATATTGTTCAATTTATTTTTGTTTTTAAGAAGTGCTGTGCAATACTGCAAATTCTGGTATCAACCTGATACCAAGTAAATACTGGACCAGTATTGCCAATAGCGATACAGATACATAGGGGAGAGCAGTGTGTCATGATTTATGAGATGAATCATCTTACGATGATAAAAACAAAGTATCAATCCTATCGTGCCAGTATTTCCCCTTGTGGGACTAATAAAGCTATATCATGTCATATCATATCATATCATATTGATCCGATAACAATACTAATAATGTCACGGTTGTTAAAGAGTGGACTCAGGCGCGGAGCTCAGAAATAATGACAGTGCATTTATTTACAGTGCAGCAAGGTGACAACAGTTCAAATGTGCAACAATGGTGATAGTGCGTCCCTCCTTCCGTGTAAGCCCGTGCGTGGTAGTGAGTGCCCGTCTCTCCTCCAAGTGCTTCCTTAGTGTCCGTAAATCCTCCGTCAATCCCTGGGTGCACACACACACACGACAGCAGAATGAGTACGAAGATCAGACAGCACTTCAATAACGTTAGCGACTCGAAAACACTACCAGGCTTAGTGCAATACTCCAGCGCTGTCTGTCGCTCAGCCACACCATTAAGTAGCCCTGCTGAAGATGGTAGTTGATTGGCAGCAGCTGGTGGATTGACTGCAGGTGTGGCAGCTCCGGGCGACAGCACTTCCGGGTCGGAGGTAGCCTGTTGCTAGGTTACCTCCTAACACATCTCAGCGGAGCCGGAGGGGAAGACAGGGCGATAGGAGAGACACATACACACGCACACAGATATACACACACTGGCAGGTCGACCTGTCAGGGCGCCGTCAGATCCTGACAAATAAACTATCAATATTTGTATCGATCCACCCCCCTCTACTTTTCAGAGGGAGAAATCGCACTAATAATGTAGAAGTCTTCCTGGGTAGATGCTAGGTGGAACGGAAATGCTAGGTGAGGTCAGACGCTGGAGACTTGGGGGAATAAAGATTAAACAGACACTTTTTGAAGCTTAAAACACACCAGAAAATTGACAGACAACAACACATATCTGCATAATAATGTCCAACACCCTGGAGGACAACAAGGAGAATTTGGATGCTCTGAAGGAATACACTGACTGGTGCTTCGACGCTACAGTCAGAAAGAAGGCCCAGAGTTTCTCTTCCCCAGCCAAGAACGAGATGCCGTCTTCCAAGAGAAGTCATGGATCAGACGACCAGATAGCCAGGAGGAGCTGGTCGTCTGTTCGGGGTCCAGGCTGATGGGCTGCTCTGTTCTTGTGGGGCCGGGCAGTCTGCTTGTCTCCAGGGTTTAAATACACTGTGGTGAATTCTACATCCATGAATTCCAGATTGAAAAAGAAATCATGTCATACTCTTGGAAGAAGAGGCCAGTTGAGTCCAGGGCCCTGACAGCTCAGCTTAGGTTATTTGAGCTTCATACTGTGAATCAATCTCAGTATGTTGCTGCTACAAAACTGGTCTGACAGGTAGGATATTGGTGCACTGGACACGCCCGTCTCTGTGAAGCAAAGAAGGAAGGATTTACATGGGAGGTATTACGATGGGAGGGGGAAGGTAGGCCTACCTACCTATTGCTTGGTTTAAGTTGAGTGGGAAACACAGTTGAGTAGAAAGCAGAGGAGACGAAAGGAAGGAGAACAAACGTGCTTAATGTTTCACCACCATGCTCCAGACTGTGTAAACCTGCACTGAAAAAGCTCCACACACCTGCTCTCACCTCCACTCTACACACTTTCCTGAGTCCAATGGATAAACATGACCCGGTAGGTTCTGATTCTTGCTGGCGTGTCTTCACTCAATAGTCAAACTTCCCACTTAATTACTGTTCACCTGAATGATGGCTGTGTTTTCTGCTTCAGTTTGCATTGTTTTGAATCTAGAGAACTGTGTTGCTTGTGAGTATATGTTGCATTCCTCAGAAGGCTGAAGAATGTTGTTCAGTAAAGAGATTACAGAGCGAAAGATTTGACTTCACTTTCCTTCAGGTGTTATAGAGGCTTTCTGTCTTAGCTTATCTAGTCTATATGGGCAATTATTTGTATTCTTTATTCAATTTTAGACTGTGTAATATAGAGATATGGTATAGATGCACGAACACATAAACAAATCCCTGTGTCTGTGAAATTGTGTATATTCCTGATGTGATGATGGAGGAAATAATGTTATTAAACTTCACATTTTCATTGTACTAACTCTTGTCTTTTTAGATAAAATAAAGAGAGAGATACCTGTAATTGCAGCTTTCTGCATTTCATTGTATGTTCTGGATGTTGTGTTTGAATCTAGAATTATTAATTTTGCCCATACAAGGCTGGCAGATTAAAAAAGGGGGACAGTTTTAGTTTACCATTTTATATCAGATTATGTTGTAGCTTACCCCTGAACTGTGCTAACAGAAGAAAATGGATGGATGGATTTTGTAATTTTAGATGACATGGTTTGTGTGAGTGATGCTGTCCTTTGTGTTGCATAGATCCTCTAATTTTTCCACCTTTTATTTATAATAATAGCTTGAGAGCAAACTGTGAAATATGACCGTATGCACTATGCTGAGAAATATGACTATACCTCCACCTAATTCTGCTAAGGCATTTGATTACAATAAAGTAAGGTTTATGCTGCCTATAGGTCTTTTAAAAAAAACAAACAAAAAAAAAACTATACATCTTTGTTGGTGAGTAATGCTTGCCTTCACAGTTTCACACTTTTACTGAACTTAACTTGAAACAGGTTTAATAGCAAATCTAAATTTTGAGAACTATATGCTCGTCTCCCCAGTTTATGGAAGTGTGATCACTGATCACATTGATATTAGAAAAAGGTCTCAACAGCTGAGGAAAGGCAATGGTCAAGCCCAAAATTTAGACTGCATAAAGGAAAGTATTTCTTTAAGGGTTATTTACCAGTGACCCTACCCTAATAGCACATCTTATTTTTTCTCAATTTCTTAGTGCGGTTCATACACAAACTGCAAACTGCTCATAGCAGCAGTTTCAGGATTGAAATCACTTACAACGTGACAAAAACTGTTTAAATAATGTATGTATGTATGTGAAAACAAACAAATGTTTCTCTTTCATGCTACAAGAATGTCAGGAGGTCAAATGACTCATCAGAAACTTGTTTTTTCACATTGTATGACTTTTTACAGAGGCTTAGTTGATAATGGAAACAGGTGATTAAGGCATGCTGTGTTCAAACAGGTACAGCCACAGAGCATTTAGCATTTGCAAACGTTGATATCACCAGCTGCGTTCCCACATGTCGCATAAAGAGCACAGTACTAAAATTAGCACACGTTTTAATTGCTGTACAAAAATACTTTTGCTTAGTTTAGCTGAAAATAGTTTCACATGTAAGTTAGTGACATGTTGGTTGGTAGATTTTGTTACCTTTAGACACAACCAGGCACCAGTAGAAGGTTTGCCTCATTAGACTGATCTACAAAATATATTTTTATTTGCTAGTAGGAAATTCCAGGTCTTTATCCATTGTTTTACAGTGATTTCAGATATGTAATCAAATTAAAGCTTGCATGTCAGGTTTGTGACATACACATCACTCATGTTTTGATACTGCTGGACATCAATATATCAACACAATGTTTGGAATTGTAGCTATTTTCTGCCAAGACTGTTTTGATTTGTTTCCTAGAGATATGTTAAAGCAAATCTCTGTTAATTTAGCTCTTGGTTTTTCACTTGTACAGCATATCTGTTTGTCTTTGTAGGGACCAAGAGTTGATATTGGCTTTTTATTTTGATGAAATCCATGAGCCATGCTCCAGCAATGAGCATGGGAAAAACTTAGTAGTTCACACACTTTCAGTGTGTTATCCACAAGCTCAGCAAAACTTTTTCCTCTGTGACTGCTAAGAAAATTCTGCACAACCTAGTTGAGCTGGGTTCAGTTTCATTCGGAACCAATCATCAAACATCCGTTCACAGATTTCAGGACCAGCAAAAATGCTTTCCTTAACTTTGGTTTTACTTTTCTTGAGACCAAACTTATTTCTTAAATGCTGAAACATCATCCAAGTTGGCGAGTACTTGGAACATAATTTTCCAGTTTGTTGTCAGCCAGTAAACTCTGCTAAAATACAGGTGAAAGAGTCTCAGAAGGAAAATGCTTGTTGACCAGTGTTGTTATTCTTATTAGATTAATTTCCGGTGAAATTAATCTAATAAATTAATCAGACCATTGGTCATTAAAACAAGAAAACATGAATATTGAAGAAATCAGCAGAAAACTTGGTTTAAAACCAAAGATCATGCTGTTATTGATGAAGAAAATAACAAATCAAATTCACATTTTTCTGCCCAAATTTGATTTAGCACAGTGGACATAATTTATAAGACTTTAAGTACTTTGTAACCATATAACTAGGTAAAGATTGACTCTATCTGCATACCTGGTGTGAACACATGAGGATGAATCTTCTTTAACTTGTTTGCTCTAAAACAAAATTGCAGTCTATAACCAGTGCAGTCTTCTAATAAATAAATGTATCTTAATTTTAAAGCTTAATTAAGATTCAACATTATTTATGACCGAATTCAATTGAAAAAAATAATATTTCAAATAACAAAGAAAAAAGGGTTTTCTTCAACCAACAGATTCAGATTTATCCCTGACAAAAAATAGACAAACATCTTTTAAAGCGAAACAATGGGCAATGAACACCATGCTATGTTACACAAGTGCTACACCTATGGCAATTATAGTCCATTGTGCACACTCACAGGGTTTTTTACTGCTCCTGACTGGGTAGCAGAATCACCTGAATCACCTAGCCAGTAAGAGAAAACATACCTAAAATGCCATTGCACACTATTTCAAGGAAATGGTGCATGTGACACTGAAACACTAGCAGCACAGGCCAAATTCCTTTCAGAATAAACACAGCATGTGTTGGTGAAGTGATTCTCAAAGTATGGGATGGGGGCCAGGGGTGAGAGACAAATTTAAAATTAGACAGGAAGTGAACAAAGACAAAGAGTTTGCTGATGCTCTAATGCTGACCTTCATTTCACTAAACTTTAACCTGGGCAAACTTTCATTGTTAATAATTGATAAAAATGGGGAGGTATGGCCCACAGACTAACTTTATCATCTTAGGAAAAAAGAAAACGAGACACCGGGTCAGTGTTAGGGTGCTGGATTGCTGGATTGTTCCGTAGTAGAAAGGCAATCAGAGAGATATTGTTATATGCAGTGATTCCAGTCAATGACACCCTAAGGTTGACAAATGCTTACTGGAACTTTTTTGTTGACCAAAAACAATACCACACCCTCTTAAAACAAACAAAAAGAAAAAATGCATTAGAAAGTGTTGCAACATCCTTGTTTTGCCCAGATTAACCTCCAACACTTTTGGGAAAACTTAAAGTAACACTTGCTAACAACGAAGTGATACCAAAACCAGTTATTTGGTAGATACAGTAGGGAAACGCACTACGGCTGACAGCTGCTTAGACACCATTCTTTTACTAAGGTGGCTATCTAACTAGTCAGTAGTCTGTGCCATGAGTCACTCCCAATGAACACATGGTAGACCTTTAACCCATGTGGATTAAAGTATTTGAGCCACTTATTCCTCTAAGAAAAACCCAGCGAACAAACTTGTTCTTAGGTGCATTTTTCCCACTATCATTTTGCACCAACTTGTCCCATGCAAGTCTCCAAATATGGATTAAGACCTTTGTTTGAAATTCTTGATATGGCTACTAGCAGAGACGATATCACTGAGAAATGAGGAACATACTCTTAAATCTGATCTGTTAGACACTGTTGCCAGGATACATCACTTCTTTCTTTGTGCCTATAAGGTTGTTGAGCTGGTGTAGACTTGATAACAGTGTTTGGATATCATGGAGGACAATAGGTTACATGCAGACTCTTGACAACCACAAATGTGCAGAGTCTTAACAACAAGAAACACATATGGATGATTTACCATTCTAGCTCATGTATGTCTAATTGTATATATTATACCTAATATATATGCCTTAGAACATGACTTAGTACTGGAAAAATCCTTGTTGGCAAGCACAGGGGTCACCAGGTTTTTACTTATCTTAGGAAGGCCCACTTTGGCCCACTTCTCTTTACAGAATCAAATCCTTTAGTTTTCTTGGCTGCTGCTTGGCAATTTGAAACTTCAGCTCTCTCCACAGATTTTCTATATGAGTGAGTTCTGGCTATGCCCCTGCATGACCTTGACCATGGTCTTGCACATGGTGGTGGTCAGAGTCAGGTTTCTAGCTAGGCTGTAGAGGACCAAATACTAATTTCCCTCATTGACACGCAAAAAAAATTAATAACTTTGATTTAATTTGGTTGAAATTCAGAACGTTCAGGTTCTCCCCATTAAAATAAAACTACTCTCAAGATGAGCAAACATAGAAAGCAAACAAACAACATCTTGTGCCCAAGGAGTGATTACATAATATTGGACATAGACTTCACATGACATTGTTTGTTATTCCAGTTAGAGATTTTATCTATGAAATCTTGCAGAGTATTTGTTTTGCCCTCATTGTTTTTGTCTTTTTCTCTTAGGGCACCCCCCCTCCTCCCTACTACTCTGTTGCTGTCCACACACAGCCACCCCTCAGGTCTTATGAAGAGGTGGTGTATGGCTTCGGTCCAGGGATGATGCCCCCAACCCAGCCACGTTACATCCCTCGGTATCCATCATCTGTGGCTGTTCCCCAAGTCTCACAGCCCATCACAAGTGAGTTATACCCGCTCCTCCCATATTTTCTAGGAATAAAATCCACGTATTGCAAATGTACAAACAAAATAAATGTTGAGTCAGAGTCGCTCCAACGATCATTAATATGTGTGTCACTATATGCTTTTGTTCTGACTGTGTTTAGTCCCAAAGAAGAAAAAGGGATGCTGTGAGAGCAAGAAAAGGTGCATTGGTGTTTCGGTGTCAGTCCTACTGTTGCTTGCTCTGCTGGGGGTGGCCATTTGGCTTGGAGGTATACTTTGATCACTGAACACTGTCATCAAAACTTGTGAACTAAGTTATTTGAACCTGTTGTATCTGCATGTGAAGCTCAGTTACTTACAGTATTTTTGTGCCCTTGTGGTCCTAAGAGTGTAAGAATTTATCTATTTTCATTTGCTCATTTTTGTGTATGTTGGTATTTAAAAACAGTATGAAGCATAAACTCAGTTATTAAATGTCATTACCAGTGTATAACACATTATTTTGCAACTATAAATAAAAATGGAATGGAATTATATGAATTTTTTTACTTCCACAGAGATTTGTTGGCACTGACAAAATGTTTTCTCTGTGTGGTCCGTTGCATGCGGTGCTCACTTTGAAAATCATTTATGTTAACTGGAGTACGTATAAATAGTTGCTGATATTTATTAAGTGAGATGGAAAGTCAATTTTAAGATGCACATTACTGTTCTTATTTTATTTCATTATTTTGTTTGTGTGAAGGATAACAATAATGGCACACTTTACCTCTACTTACTTTAAAATCATTACTACATACTCTCCAACCACAGTTGTGTACGGCACCAGGAGAGCAACATCAGCGATCCACTACGATGAGCATGATGGGAGCAATGATGAGAAAACCCAAAGTGCAGTTTTGCCAAAGGACAACTGCCCAAACAATACTGTAATTTGTGATGGAAAAGAGGACTGCCAACATGGCACTGACGAAGCATACTGTGGTAAATCAGCACACTCATAAAGAAAGAAGATGAAGTAGGATTGGAAAATAACAATAATAATCTATGGAAGGAATATGTATCAATATATGTAAGAATTCTTAGGGGATCCAACTTAAATCTGAATCATGTATAATTGTATTGGCTTTATTCATATTATACACTCTATGTAATGCCTAACAACAAGGTAAATATATTAGAAGAATGCACAAGAAAGGTCTTGGCAAATTAAACATTTTCTGCAAAATGAAAGCTAAAATCCCCACAAGCTTGTGGGGATAGGTTAATTGGATAATCCAAATTGCCACTAGGTGTGAATGTGCGAGTGAATGTGAGTGTGAATGGTTGTCTGTCTCTGTGTGTTGGCCCTGCGACAGACTGGCGACCTCTCCAGGGTGTACCCCGCCTTTCGCCCTATGACAGCTGGGATAGGCTCCAGCGCCCCCCGCGACCCTGAAAAGGATAAGCGGAAGCGAATGGATGGATAGATGAAAGCTAAAATTGCCTAATAGTCACATGTGCACATAATGGACTTAGGAGATTTAAGGTGTATTCTTTTTGTTATCCCTTCTTGTTATTACTTCTCCAGTGAGGTTTGGTGAGGGAAACAGTCTGCAGGTCAGAACAGCCACAGATGGCCGCTTCCTACCAGTGTGTAACCAAGGGTGGGATGACAATGAAGCCAAGCAGATCTGCAAGCGGCAAGGATTCAGAAAGTATGATCACCACTTTACCCTGCCTATTATTGTCATAGCTCACCTAAAATGTATTGAACATCATGTATAAAAAAGTTTAAAGATAGCTGGGTGCTGGTATAGTTCAGTAGAACAGGCAACCCAGACCATTGCAGAGGCCTGGGTTTGCATACACCCTGAGGCCCTTTACTAGCTGTCTTCTCTCTAGTGCCCTATATAAATAAAGGCTAAAAAGTTTAAAGGCAGCTGAGAAAAAATTTGGATCAAAGGTAATCTTCATAATATATCTTACCATTATCTATCATCATTTAGACCTAGCACGGGCTTCATGAATGAGTGATTTAGCTCGTCATTTGGAAGGGTCGATTTTAACAACAGCCCTTAAACACGTGGGCTTCAAACCCCAACCTGTAATTACCTACAGAGGTTCATGAAACATCACCTGATCTGCTGCTGTGTTTAGGGTTGAATTGATTCTCCACAGGAATGACTACCAGTGGGGCATCTCAGTATGATAGAAGCGCAATTAGTTTACAGATTCACTCAGACATTGACTGCAGAAAATGGTCTCTATATGTGCACGTTTATCTAATCATTTTTCTCTCTGCCTCCAGCGTCTATATGACAGCTACAATTCAATCAGATTCCACAGGTTTAACACTGAACAACAGTACAAGATCTGCTCCAATCCAGGCTCGGCTAAATGTCAGGTACATATGATTTGTTGGTTAACAACATTAGCATTGGTTGACTGCATGTACCCATTTTAACATGTTTCCCTTATTGTGGCAACATGCAGTTCTCCCTGTCCGAACAAGCAGACTGTCTCCCTGCAGTGTGTGGGTAAGGAGCCTCCATCTGTTCCTACAGTCATATGTCACACACTTTTTATTTCTTTTTCTATGTCTGCCTTACACCCAGTACCTATGACTGAAATGCAGTTATTAGCCAGTGCAATCCTAACAAAAGTATCTGAATCATTTTCTGAAAATTTCAAGGTTCAAGCATTTTTCTGTTAGAATTTTTGATAGCTTTGGTCAGTACACACGGTCGCAATCATGGGGATGATTGCTGGCTGTACGGTTCAGATGATGATAACTGACAACCTCCAGGAGGGTGAGCCACAGATGGTCACTGCTGAAAAGGCTGACTTTAACAGGCAAGATGAAGCTTTGAAAGGATTGTCAAAGAACTTGGCAGAGCTTTGAATTTGGGAAAGAGGCTGCTATTTTAGCATTAAGAGCCACCAAATACATCTTGATATTAGGAATGTGAGAAACAATATCAAAAATGTCTTACCTGGACTTTATGTCCAACGTCCTTTTAAAAGATCAAATTGCATTTCGCATTTCATTTGTAAATCAAGGTCCTGAAGTCTGGAGGAAAGAGAGGACAGAGAGACAGAATCCAAAGTGTTTGAAGTCCTGTGTGCTTTTGCTGTCTATGATGATTTGGGGCACCAAATCATGTCAGTGATATTTTATCACATCAAAAGTTAATGCAGCCATATACCAGGAGAGAGAACTTCATGAGGACTTGATTTCCAGATTGGCAATTCCTTTTCCTAACGGAATAAAAACCTATCCACAATGCCATAACTACTGCTAAATGGTTTACCAATCGTGATCAGAATGCTGATAATCATTACTGCATTTGGCCAACCGGTCTGATCTGAATCCCAAAGAGAATCTATTAGACATTTAAGAGGAAGAAAACCACCAAAATACAGATGACCTGAAGGCCAAAGCAAAGTAACTTGAGCTTCAGTAACATCTCCAGATTGCCATACCTTCGATTCCGGATTTCTATAGATTTCTATAGATCATGATGAACTATAAACCCAGGACCCACTGCACCAGTGTAGGGTGCAACAGTGGATCCAATGATTTAATCCCAATACCTAATGGCAGTCAGGGGGCCATAGTCTAGCCTGCAGAAGTCTGTTCATCCTCTCATGGATATGGTTCCCCAAACCATCATATCACCATAACATACAGGTTTCTCTAGACCCTTTCATGTCTCTCAGATATGGTAAGGGTGAACCTGCTCTTACCTGCAAAAAGCACAGGGTGCCAGTGGTGGGTCTGCAATTTCTGGTAGTGAGCACAGGGCCAATAGCGGATGTTAGGACCTCATCAAAGCAGTTAAGAAAACCCCTATGCTACTTAACTGGCTAAAATTTGGCCTCATAAAATCTTAATGATAGGTTTGTAGCTTGAACCTATTCGCTGGAACGTTGAAGTCAATATAATTACACAGCAAAAGCATTGAACACCAAGTAGGCAGAGTTCTTCATGTTACTCATGCATGAAGGAGACTTGCCTGGAGCCAAGTGTCGTCCCACCACTTGACCTCCGTCAGACTCTCAGCCAGGTTCCCCATAGCACTCCTTTTATTGTGGTTACATGAATATGCATAGGGTCATTAACATATGACGTCTACATACAAACAAAGAGTACCGTGTGTGTGTGTGTGTGTGTGTGTGTGTGTGTGTGTGTGTGTGTGTGTGTGTGTGTGTGTGTGTGGGGGGGTGTCAGAGTGTGACCCCATAAATGACTTCCCTAAACCTGCTGGTCTGGAAGTCCAACAGTTCATCTAAACAAAAGGCACTTAGCCTAAAACAGATATAGCCATGTTTATCCTACCATAAAACAATAAGACAAGGTACGACCTCTTCCCATGCTCCCAGGATGTAGGTGTGAATGCACACCAAGCCTTTGTAGCCTGCTAAAGATCACACATCCTATCACTACACAATTGATTATACACCTCTAAGCATATATGGTTAAATATTTCTAAGCATAAATGACAATCAACAATACAAAACCTAACACTTAAGACTTGTTTAAAGTTGTGTAAAAATTACTCAAAGAGTTCTTAAGTTATGGCCACAAGGTGTTTTGTTAGGTGACCTTGATAACATAAAACATTGTGACTCCTATGAAGATCTGGCACATACAATGTATTTTTTTCTGCATTCATCAAGGATAAAACTATGCTGACAATAGTTTTGTTTCCCTTTCTTTCTTTTGCATGGTACCTTGCATTGTTGTCCAGATTGTGGTAAGCAGCAGGCCACGTCCCGGATCATTGGTGGCACCATAGCTAAACTAGGTCATTGGCCTTGGCAGTTGTCACTACAGTTCAGAGGATCCCATGTCTGCGGAGGAGTCCTGATCTCCCCTGATTTTGTGCTTTCTGCTGCCCACTGTTTCCCAAGGTGACAAAAAAAAAAGAAAAAAAAAAAGAAAATAAAACAAACATACCTTTGTAAATGTTTTATCACACTCTCTTAAATTGACCATAGTCTACCTTAATAAACTCTCTGATTCCTAGAGTCTGTACATTGTAATTGTAGATATTTTAAGGTCCAGCTGCAGTTAACAATTCAAAATTCATACATTTTAAAAACCATAATGCCAATTATTCTGTGCTGAAATCTACATTAATCTGTTGCTGTCCATTGAAGAGTGTTTTTCGGGGTTTCAGAGACAACTCGGCTCTATCCCCTCAGAACTGGAAAGTATATGGTGGAACGGTGTCGCTGAACAACCTGCCTGTTCCGTACTTTGTTGAGAAGATCATAGTCAATGAGAACTATAACACTAAAACAAATGACCAAGATGTTGTTCTTCTCAAACTTACATCCCCAGTCACTTTCAATGGTTAGTTGCATCTTTACATTCTTTAACAAATGTGTGTAGTCATCCAACCTCTATAGCTGTGTTCAGATTTTAATAATCACATAAGCATGTGTGTGGGCATCATGTTGGAAAGCAGAGTGTGTGAAGGATTTAATTGCTTCCTCCATGGAAATATCCAGCACAGAAATCCTTCGATGATGAAACCTGTGTTTAATAGCACTATGGAGAGTGTTATGCATATATATTCTGCACAGTATAGTGGGGGAAATAATTATTTGATCCCATGCTGAATTTGCTCAAAGAAAGGAACAGTCTTTAATTTTTATGGTAGCTTTATTTTAAGCAACCATACACATCACATAAAGTTTTTCCAAATTCAGCAGGGGATCAAATAAGTATTTCTCTTACTCTCTGCTGTATATAGTCTACAGTAGATTGTGTAGATTATTAACAAAAACAGGACACTAAAACAATGTGCAGGATAGTAATAGCAATGAAAATATTTCCTTTGCTGCTCAGTCTGAGCTTTGAAAGCCTGTGAGTTCACAGTCAAACTGTTAATCTGCTTTACATAGTGAAGTTGTTTTACCGTATATGTACAGATCTATCTACACTACTATCCTTTTGAGCACACAAGGCGGCTGATGTGTTGGCAAAATTTTAAATACATATTTTTGTGTTAACCAGATAAAGTTCAGCCTGCTTGTCTGCCAGCATATAACCAGAACTTTGTCCAAGGAACTCAGTGCTGGACCTCGGGTTTTGGCACCACACAGGCCGGTTCAGGTAAGCAGAAATTCCGAAATGTTAAGTATCTAGAAATCTAGACTAGAAATCTAGCAAATGACCAAGTTTTAGTTATTTATGAATGTAATTTATTTTACTGAATTCCCATGATTTCCATACTAATGTGTTGGGCAATACAGTCTGCCTTGCGTCTGCATTACATGTTTAAGTGCTGTTGTTTCCAGTAGTGTTTGATTGTTTTACTGTAGATAAGGCTTTAAAAGTTTAGGTTTGGTCTATGAGTGACGTTTAGCCATTTTACTCACTGAAACTAAAGCCTTAAATTGTAGGAGGTTAGAACCCACCCAACGCATTGATAGAACAAAAAAAAACCATGAGCATAAATATTCGCAGCCTTTGCTATGGCACTCAAAATATGTCAGATGTTTCTACAACATGACTGAAGTCCATTTGTGGTAAATTCAGTAGATTGGACATTATTTTGAAAAGCACACATCGTCTATATAAGGTCCCATAGTTGATGGTGCTAATGAATTGTTGAGAAAGAATTGTATGGAGGTATAGATCTGGGGAAAGGTGCAGAAAAAAAAGAAAAAGAAAAACTTCTGCAGCATTAAAGGTTCCAGTGAGCATAATGGCCTCCATCATCCATAAATGGAAGAAGTCTGAAACCATCAGGGCTCTGTCTGGCCAGTCTGAGGTACTGGGAAAGAAAGGCCTTAGTCAGGGAGGAGACCAAGAACCCAATGATCACTCTGACAGAGCTCCATCTTTGCTCTGTGGAGATAGGAGAACCTTTTAGAAGAACAACCATTTCTACAGCACTACACCAGTCAGGCCTGTAAGGCAGAATGACTAGATGGAAGCCACTCCTCAGTGAAAGGCAAACTATTAAACATTGCTGATGCAATAAAAAAACAAAAACAAAAATCTGCAAGCTGAGAAAGAATGGGGAAGGATTACAAGAAAGCAACAACAATGCCATCAGGGAATGATGAGGAAGTAACCAGTATCTGTTGTCTATATAATCATCTGATGAAAAATATGCTTGAAAAAATAATGTTAACGACTGATGGGTGGGTGACGACTCTCAATCAATAAACAAAAGACTGCGAAATTATTAATCATAAAAACTGAAGAAAAATGAAGAAAACAAACAATGCACAATTTCTGTTGCTTAGACAGTGCAACTCACAATAATGTATAATATTTACATCAAGCTACTATTGTGGGGTATTATATTGCCATGGAAAGGAAACAATGACGTTTTTTTTTGTTTTGTTTTTTTTTTTGTTTTTTTTTAAGGTGTTGTCTCGAAGGATCTGATGGAAGTGAGTGTGGACATCATTGATACACGGGTGTGTAACAGTCGTGATGCTTATGGAGGTCTGGTGACCAATAATATGCTTTGTGCTGGGAAACTCGAAGGAGGCAAAGACTCCTGTCAGGTGAGCAGTCAGTATTAAGGAACAGCTAACAGAAATCATATAAGTATGCATGGATTTGACCATCTAGCAAACTTTGGAGTAACATTTCTGTTAATCAAGTGTAATATATTTTTCCAGGGTGACAGTGGTGGACCTCTGGTATGCCAGGGAGAGAGTCGCTTTTACCTGGTGGGGATTACCAGCTGGGGAGCTGGCTGTGGTGAAAAAAACAAACCCGGGGTTTACACCAGAGTCAGTAGTGTTCTGCCCTGGATCTACACAAGCATGCATGTAAGAGTGAAAGCAAAAAGAATAAATAAGAACTAGCAGGGGAAGGCTTTCTCTATGTTAACTCCTCCTTTGCCTCTTGCAGAGAGCTATGGTGTGACATCACTTTGCCTCCTGCTGGTGTTTTCCTCCCAATGAAGTTGTCTTGAGGGAGTAGCAGCATGACAGAAATGCCCACATACATTCATTAATGTTGTGCTCATCATCTATACTCATCCCAGGTCACATGGATTTAATATATTTTACACTACCCACATGTATACAAGCTAATCAGTGCACTGACTTCAGTCTTTCAATTTTGATTTTATTCTTTTGTGTGTACTAAAGCTTATTTTTAATTTAAGTGAGCTTTAAAAGCAGATTTTTTTCAATTGTATCTTATTGTAATAAATTCAATGAAAGGCTTTACTGAGGTTCTACTGAGATTTCCTTAATCAGTTTGTGTTTGATTAATGTATGATTGTGTATGATTAATTATTATGAAGGTGTTTTTTTTCTCTCAGGAACACAATTTTAACTGTTGTGTACCATATTAAAATCAAAACATTTTGTGCATTACCTTGCACTTGAGTCACTAAGCAGTGCACTTAAGCCACTACTCATGTTGGAATTTTTCTTGAAATTGTTCTTGATTGTATGCCATTTTTCCGTATTCTTTGTTATGTTCATGTCATAAGTTTGTGAAGGATTGCGCGAATAACAAACACAACATATATCAGATAAAGAAGGAACCATCCACCCCCCTTTGTTGTGGTGTTTAATGATTTTGTGAGCAGGAGGGTCTGTGGTGAGCGTGCCTGGTGTGTGAGAGAGGGAGAGATGCAGAAAGGGAGCGGCAGGGACGATTCCACGCACTAAATAAGCAGTCACTCCAGGAGTCACACTGTTGTCGTCATCACATCTATTTTTCCAGGGGAAGTACATATGAGCAGGTTGCACATATTGACAGATGAGAATACTTGAAGCAGAGTCCTTGTGAGACAAACTGATTGATTTTTGCAGGTGGATATCAGTTTGTTAACCAACGGTCCGCTGGAGAAACAAAAGGTAAGTTAATAAGCGACATATTTGATTGTGTTATTCATATAAAGACAAAAAGGGATCCAGTGGTCTAAAAAGAATATGAGTGCAATAGGACTGTAAGGCAAGGCAATTTTATTCATAATGCCTCTCCAGTGTGCATAAATTGTGTCTTTCGTGCAAACTTCTTTGTGGAATTATTTTAGGCAAACGTGCGGTGTCATTTATTATTATTATTATTGTTTTCAATAATAACCACCTGTCTGGTGTACATGGTCACAATAACTAATCGAGATGGCATTTTCAAGGCTGCTTGTTATTTACCACGCGAACATGTACCACGAGGGTGTGTCTGTTGGCACTAATCGCTGGCTACGCGGATATTGCAAAAACGGGATAAAAACCATGATTAATCCACTTGTCATTTCCAAGTAAAATGAACTCGTTCGTTATGACACTGCTGTTTAGCTGTTTCCGTGAAAAGGAAAATCACCAGGCGGATGATGGCTCGGGTTTTCTCAATCATCAGATAATCCACAGGTTGAGAGACGCAAAAGTGGATCAATGCGAAGACGTCACGCATCGGATATTGAGGCATATTGTGCAAGGTGTTTTTTGTTGTTGTTTTATGTCAGTCAAACCAAACAGCACGTAACTTAGCTCAGAGCCTTGATGGATCGTCACGAGTAATAGAGAGGTTATCAGTGTGTGTGATTGAGGTCTCCCTTTGTCCCCGACAGGCGACTTTATCTGGAAACAACCGCTGAATGTACGGTCACGCTCATTATTTATTTATTTATTTATTTACTTATTTATTTATAAATCAGTTATCTTAGAAATCGTCTCAATGTAGGCCAGAGATTTCGACCTTAAAGATGCACGCCACACCCCTTATTCCTGTTTAAGTGGAGTCAGTGTTGTCTCTGCTTTAACCCATTTCTCTTTCGGCGCCACAATTGTCAGTTGGAGACAGTTACCATGGCGATAACTGGACACTAAATTACGATGGCTGTCATAGTGGTGTAACATCATTATAATGGTAGATATAGAGGTCAAGGCTGTTTTTTGTTTTGTTTTGTTTTGTTTTTTGGATTCATGCATTGTACAGCTGCCCCACATTGTATTGATGTTAATATATAGGGCTCTTTTCATATTTAGTTGGATTTATTGGGTTTAGATAATGCCTCAGGGTTATTAGTCACCCAAACTAATTTCCTTCAGACACCCGCACTACTCCAAAGTGTAAAGTGAAACAGGAAGATATGGCCCAGTTATCCCAGACAATATTTTAAAACTGTGTTAAAAGGTATGCCTGATAGCTAACCAATAGATCTACAAAGCAAATAGTGTGGTATCAGTCAGGGAAGTGCAAATTGAGGTGCAAATGAAAACTACACGAATTTGCACTTCCCTGACTTTGAAGCACACAGGAAATGCCAGTGGGGGAAAACAACAACAACAAGAACAAAAACATCTGTCATGTGATAATTTCAAATATCTGTTTCATTTGGTACATGATAGGCTATTGATAGAACTACTATACTATTATTACAGTATAGGGTCTCTATCTTGCAATATAAAGCGCATTGAGGCAACTGCTATTGTGATTTGGCACTAATATGAATTAAATTGAATTGAATTGACTGAGTGTTGGTGTTAGTGGGGTGTGGTCATCTGTAAAAACACACACTGTCATTTTAGGATGGATTTTCCTTCATGACCTTGTTGTTTTTCCCCCCACAACTCCTGCATGAGAGTTACACATTTGCCAAGCAGTATAATGTCAAAGGTTAAACCATTATTTTTTTTCATGTCTCTGTGATTCTGGAGCACTCTGCTGCCCTTGTGTACTTCACTATCTCACTGCTGTTATTGCTTTGTCCCTCCTTGGCCTTTGTTTTTAAAGCTCTTTGTGTGTTATACTGTAAATGTCACTACAGTACAACAGGCTGCCCTACCACAGTCCTCTCCCCTCAGACAGTGTCTCCTCTGCATGCCCTTCACCTGTACTACCAGACAATGTCTAACCCTGTCAGCCTGTCTCCCAGTCTCACTGGCTTTCAGCTTGCCCTTTCCTCGTCCCAACATTACAGGAAACAGCCTCCATTCAATGTTGTTGCCTTTTCCAAACAGATATCATCACCACGTCTGCCCTTTTCTAGTTCTGTACTCTCAGAAAATAGAAAGCCTGGCTGAGGAACTTGATATTACCAAACAATGGTGCAGATTAGACAGAGGAAAGATGGAAAGGCAACTGCTCAGGTGTCATGTTCACACACAGGGAGAAAAAGGCTGGCAGAAACAATCAAATGATACATTATATGGGGAAGTACAATTGTGCCAAATGTCTAACTCGTTCTCACAGGAAAAATATGACACTGACCCACCCAAGGTCAAAAGTTCTACACTTCAGAAGGAAGCCAAATTGAACTCAAACAAAAGTCATTGTAATTTTTGTACTCATCTGATGGTCATGGATGTTGGCCAGAGAAGTAAGTAATTTTAAGCTAAATCTATGAAGCTGATATTTTAGTACTGGTGTATAAATGTTTTGTCTTCATCCTTTTGTGGGATATTTGATAGGACTTGGTAGATTACTGGTTTATGTCATATACAAGTACATTGTAAACCAAATTATGATATTTTCTTAAATATAACCAAGTTATCCCATATGGAAAAGATATATATAAATCTTATAAAGTTTGTATCTGTCTTGTGTGAAACTTGTATGAAAAGCATACAAGAGTGAAAACAGATATAAGATCCCTTGAAAAATTATATAATGAAACTTGTATGTTTTGGATACTTACTAAAACAATATATGAAAGTAATGAGAAAGTGGCCACTTTCATGAGTAAATCATATAAGTTTTTACTATTTCTTTTCCATATGTGATTTAGTGCCTAAACCTTACCTAACAGTGAGTGAACTGTTAAACTGAACAGTGACTGAAACCGAAAAGAAACAGTAAGCAGCAAAGTATAAAAACTCCACTACTGACGAGATTATATATAGTGTTATATATAAAACACTCAAATCTAAGGAATTTCATTCCTTCAAACACAATATCGTAAAAAGGTAGTGTAAAATAACAGGCATCAACCATTTTTCTACACATCTCATCTTAATGTCTAGCACTCTAAATAAATATTCTTCTGCTTTTCAGCCATTAAAAATCAAGACTTTTTGCAGGCAATCTAAAATCAATCTAGAATCAATCTAAAATCAATGCCTCAATTGCTGAAACCGTTACAGAACTTTTTCCAAGATGATTTTTTTTTACTGCTCAAGGGACAGCTCTCTATGTCCTTACAAAGAGGGATGAGTGTTGCGGTCTGAATAAACTTGCTATATTTTGTGTGACGCTGATTGCGTGCCCTTTAACCTCAGACTATCTTTGGCTACTCTGAAATCAGCTGAGGTTGTCCGGCTGGCCACTTAACCCTGGGCACTTACTGTCATATCTATGCCATTAGCAAGTGCCTGAGTAAGAAGGACACAAAAGAGCATCAAACTTCTCTCCATCAGCCTTGGTATGGTTCTGTCTACTTTTTCAAAATTCTCTCCTTCCATTAGCACCAAAGTGACAGATCGAGCTTTAGATTACCAGTGCAAGAGAGCAGCTGGCTGACACACATTACGCCATATTGCTCTTGCTGTATTATGTTGAGACATATTATGCCAAGACATTATTCACATGAATAAGTGAACAATTCCCCATGTCAGTATGACCTCAGATTATGCTATTTGATATAAAAGCAATCTTGTGTATGCACACACACACAGGTGACATGATACATTTTCCTCATAATGTTTACTGATGCACAGCCGGTGGTAATGCATCAACAAATGTAACATATTCAGGGAGGAATGATGCCACCTTGTAAGTGCTAATATTTACTAATAGCCACTTGAGGTATTGCAAAAACAAAAAACAAAAAAACAAACCATTGAAAAAACCCATTTTCTCCTTTTATAATTAAAAAGCCTTTTAAAAAGCATTCAGGTCACTCTCCCTCTATCATGTTCATAAATGTAATTTTTGTGATGTCATCACCAATTAAAGGCTTAGTGGAAATCTGATCTGTGGGTGGGCCCAGGAGGATAAAAAAACTTTCACTGACTATTGATTATTTCTGATAAAGGCTCATCAAGCAGCCAACATCTTTTAGAGCACAGTTGCTTCTTGCTATCTGCCTTTTTTTTAATTTATCCCATATCATCCTGGATAGTGTTTTTCCAACAGCAGTTTAACAGCATGTGAAGAGTGAAAGATGAAAGTGAAAGACCATTGAAAAGGGAGTTGCAGGTGGCTCACGGTCAAATACCTTCCTTTATTGTAACCATCATCACGGCTGTCAGCTCTTTGATTATTGTGATTTTAGCCACAGTAAAACTAGCATGAAAGATGAAGCATTAAAGATTAAAAAAAGAAACTAAACAATTGTCCATGAAACAAGGAGTGTTTGACAAAATAAACATAGATGACTTGCTTAGCTAATGAATGACCTATTTTTTTTTATGCCTGTTGCATGCTGCACGTGAGCAGATGCAGTGTTTATCAATAAAGTTGAACTGCATGTTAATCTTCTCAAATGCACACCTTGAGAAAAGAGGACAGAGCTTTCTGTCTTGTCTGCTTAGTAACAGGTGTGGAAAAAGTCCTGCGCTAAAGGAAGCTATTTTCTTTTCTATCACTGGGATGTTACATAGAACTTTAAAGGTCTTAATAATGCAACATATAAATGAATACATTGATATTATTTATTTAAAAGGGACGGTGCATATTGTTGAATATATCAATGTAAATAAACAGAGTTAGCCAAAAGGCTACTTTTCATCTGTTGTCCCTGGCAGGTCGGACTAAAACGATAAATAAGAAATTCAACACACCATCAAACAATGTACACCAATCTAGTCCAGACAACAAATTTAAAACATAAAATTTCATAGGACTGTAAGAAAATGCAGAACAACAAATGTTGTAATTTTTAAAATACATTAAAAATAACATATATTAATATCAAATTCATGATCACAAATCTGATTCCCCTTTAGCCATTATTTGAGATGAGTTTTAAATGATTTGAAGGTAGTACATTCTCCTATTACAGCTGGAATATTATTCCAAATGTCACTACCTTTAACTGATAATATCTTTAACTGATGATTCCACCTTGTGATTTGAGAATCATAAGGTGGAATCTATAGAAATGTACTTGTGTGTGAATTAGGCATTTAACAAAAAATATTTCTTCTGTTCAAGGTCACATGCAAGGATTTTTGTTTCAGATGTATCTTTCTATTGGATGGGACAGCTTCATCTGTCATCTTATGTCACATCATTTTAGAAATGTCCCAGTTACTATTGTGCTGTTTAGATCTGTTTATAGCTCACAAATCAAATAAGCGGAGCACAACATACAAATTGCAAGTGCGCAGGAATGCTGTTGTTCATACTACAACTAATGACCATAATGGGATAATTTGTTTGCTTAAATGCATTATGTCCTATACAAGTGATGCAGCTGAACACAGGCAAATAGACAGATGGCTAGATGGACATAAATAGACCCAGTCAATCAGAGGACCAGTTCAGTTCTCTTAGAATTAGTAGTCGATACTCTCCGTTAACAGTACTAAAGTATGGGTTATAAAACCTCTGGAAGGTGCAGTGCAGACATCCCATGGTTTGTTTATAGATCATGCATGTTGAACTGCAGACTTGTTTTGTTTTATTAGTTCACACAGAGCATTGTTCTGCTCCATCAAATCCATTGCTGTCATGCTGTGTTTCCCATCTATATTCATTTAGAGTGAAGTATTATAGTCAATAGTCACTGTCAGCTGATGTATAACAATCTATCAGACACTTTATTTGCACAAGCTAATTTGATAGGGCTTTGGACTGCTCACTAAACACTGATCCATGACACGTATTTGCATTCAACAGCCATGTACAGTGGTATCATGATATTAGAGTGACACAAAACATAAACAGATTAACTGAACCTGCCATATGTTTTGTTTGTTTACATGCTACAAAATAAAATCAAGAAAGTGGTCTAAGTTGGTCTCAGAGATTCAAACACTAGAGGTCAAAGGTGAGACTCATTCATTATGCACCGATCTGCTAAAACACAGCCAAAAAAGACCAAATCTGTTCATTTTACACATTCTTACACACCTGAATTTTTATCACCAGATGGTCTGGATGATGTCAGGATGCAAACTGATTAACTGAGTTTCAATTTTACTATAATTCCCTTTACAACTGATCACAGAATAACTAGGAGGGAAGAAATTTCATAAATTGACTTGTTGTAAAAAAAAAAAATTGTTAATTGAGGGTATAGAACAACTTGATGCATATTTTTTCAGCACTTGAAAGTTGAGCCCAATTCTGTAGTCCTTGGATTACTGCACTGTGTCCAAGGACAGATTTTACAATCTCACAACTTTTCTAAAATCTTACTTTAACACTGAGAAGTTTCGGGACACCCAACGTTATTCACACAAGTTTTTCTCAGTGGATTTAAACCAAGCAACATGAGGCAGCATTTAATGTCTAGAAACTGCTAAAACTTCCCATCCATCCATCCATCCATCC